CATCAACTCCCCAATAAACCTGATGAAACAATAGAATGTTAATGGATAACTACAACTATAAATTACCGTTTCATCTTTAGAGAAAACTCCATGTACCTTAGGAAACTTCATTCCTGGACCATTCCGCGATCTCACAAGAAGTAATTCCAATTCATGCCTGCCGCTTCTGTATCTATATGGAATACATCTGCAAATTGGAACATTCCTATATAAGCAACTTGTTGCATAATGGTTCTAATTTAATCAATTTATCATAAAAGGCAAAGTTGTCTTTGCCTTCCTTTATAAGCCTTGGTTTTCATTATTTTGCTCTAAGACAAATGAAAATTACAAAGCTTGAGAGCTTGGTTTAGAGAGACTTGGGTTTGTGCAAATAATTAGATTGGTCTGTAGGACTGAATTTGATTTGAGATTGAGAGTGCTTTTAATACTAAACAAGCGTGAAGCTTTAACTTCTGCACATCAAATGTTTGATAAATTGTCACACTTTTTTTTTTTTTTTTTTTTTTAAATTTCAACACAATTAGTAATGAAGCATAACACATTTCTATATTACTTCCAAAATGAGACCAAATAAACAAGAACAAACAGCCACTTAAGACACTTGAATGTCGTAACCAAATGCTCAAACAAAGCCAAATGAACGGAATTATTCTAGCAAATTGCTTGATGGGTAAAAATCAAAATAAATAGTAATGAGGACAAAAATCAGTAACTAAGCTTTATGAAAATTGAGAGAAGATCATCTTAAAATCGTCAAAATGAAAAAAAAAATAGTACTCACCCTACAACTTGGCGGCGACCCCTTGAATCACATCTCTGCAACTGCCTTTCCCGGGAAGAAATCAAAGGATAATCTGACTCCATTATTATACGAAGAATTCCTGAAAAACTATGAAAAAGGGTGAAACTGATGGATTATTTACCCTTTAATTTAGTTGGCCTAATTAACTGAGGAAAATGTATAGAATTTCTGAGCTATCAATATGACTAGACCAACAACACTAACATCAGTCATCTCACAGGACTAAAGTGTTTGTATTTAAGGCAAAGTACAACAAAACAAACCCTAAACCTCAGGGATCAAAGATAAATATCCGACATAACAATTAGCAAGAAGGTCAACAGAGGTTTACTTGATGAAAGTTGCCGTGTAGCTTAGGTACAATTTCTCCTTCCAGCGTTCGTAAGGAGGTACATATTACAACTAACATGTCCAAAGCTATATTCATCCACCAATGCTTCATCCACAGTCACCTGTAAAACAGGAAAGATTCACTTACAAATGAAGATTTATCAGCTAGCCAGAAACTTTGAATAAGCACAAAAATACATACATATATACATACATGCATGCACGCATTTTGTGGCCGGAATATAAACAAGTGTATTATTTCATTTATCCAATAAAATCATATCATGTATTTAAAATCTTACTTTCATCTCTCTTCACTATTAGTATGATGTAATAGAACTTCAGGTGTGTTTGACTCCTTACCAAATAAAGTCTTATTGAATGAGAGCACGACACAACAAAGCACGGCACAGCACAGCCCATGATTATGCAGGCCGTACCATGGGCCGGCACGCCATGGCACGAAAAATATAAAAATTTAAAAATGTTTTACTAAAGATATGTTTGAAGTTTTTGAGAATTTAGAAATTAATGAAAATGAAGATGTATAATAATTTTTAATCTTAATTTCTAAGTTTGTATTTGTAATTTATAATTATAACTTATAAATAATAAAAAATGTTGAAATTCAATTAATATTTTAATGTCTCATTATTTTATTATATTTCATAGTGATTATATATTTTTTTAATTAATATAAATACAAAATATCACTAAATATAAAATATAAAATATAAAATATTTTTATAATAATTATTAATAATAAATCAAAGTTACCATAATTTATATATATTAAAATTAAATATTTTTACAAAGTACGTGGGCCGGCCCATGGCATGGCACGGCACAATATATAGCAGGTTGTGCCGTGGGCCTTCAAATTTGGTGAACCAGCACGGCACGACAAGTCACGAATTTTTGCGAGCCTTGGCACGACACGGCCCACCACCACCTGTAGGATTACCCCTTCTTATAAATTAGTAGGCTTGAGAGTGCTTAATCAATATGGGGCTCCAACATGCCTCCTCATTTAAGCCCATATGTTGGGTCATGTCTATTGATGGAGATAATTGCTAGTTCTAACTCCTCACCCGTTGGTCGAGCATTCAGCTCAATTGAGTCTGGCTCTGATACCATAATAGAATTTTGACTCCTCACTCAATAAGGCATGTTGAATGGGAAGATTACTCCTTTTTATAAACCAGTTGGCTTAAGCGTGTCTATTCAGTGTGGGACTCTAACACTCCCCCTCACGGTCAAGCCCATATGTTGGGTCATGCCTATTGCTGGAGGTAGTTGCTGACTCAAACTCCTCACCCGCTAGTCAAACACTCAGCTCAGCTGAACCTAACTCTAATACCATGATAGAATTTGAGGTGGGCTTAACTCATCACCCAATAAAACCTTATTAGGTGAGGAGTCAAACCCACCTCAAATTCATTCAAACTCTTTTAGAAAACTATCAAACAAAACCTTTTAATAGTAGATATTTAATACTTTCACAACTAGGTGGATGCATTTCATTTTAAGCAATCTCATAAGAGGTAAATGGTATAAACTCTATTATATAATTGTAGATACAAATTATTAAGAAAAAGCCGCATAAACCTGGCTCAGGTAGACTTGGTTTAGTTACAACTTACAAGAGGGACATTATTTGAGCCTCGCTCAAACTCTTTATAAGCCCATTAATCGAATTTTAAAAATTAAAATCATATTATAGAGTAAAAAGTTGCCAATAACAATTTAAAATGGGTAAAATAGCTATTTTCAAAGCTCCCATCATTCAATCACAATAAACATTATTTCGATAGAAAAATAAATAATTAAATTCTAAATGTCTATTAAATTTTGAACTTTGTATACTAGACCTTGTATAGAAAATTTGTAAGAGTAATATTATTCTTATTCTAATTAGATATTATAGGAAAGAAATTTGGTTCATGTAAAGGAAAGTGAAATAATAACAATAAAATGTTTAATTATAGTCATATATACAAAAAGAAATATATGTAACACAACCAATTGACTTTATACTTTAATACAAATTTATGTAAAGTACAATAATTTAATTCATGTGTCCTATTATTAAAATTGCTATTATCTTCAATCTTAGGGGATCCAATAATCAATTGGAAATCACCAATCTGCCGAGCAATTAGAGGCTGAAATAGAAGAACAACAATTAGATATCTAAAAATATTTAAAGAAATTAACCTTCTTACAGAGAGATTAATTTCTTGATGAAACCAACCTACCTATGCACTTGGCCCCAACCTCGAATTTTTTGGAGTGGAAGTGGGTAATCCCTCGAGGGGAATGCAATACCCACGCCCAAAAATACCCAGGTTAGTCTCATTTTCTTTTTTGTATTTTTAATAAGAGTTAGATATACTTTCGAAAAAGTCATTTAAAACAAGTAATACAACCTTTTTAGTTAGTTAAAAGAAAAAAAAAAGAAAAAAAAAAAAAGATTTTTCCGTTTAGACAAATATAATGATTCAAAATCTTTAAGTCATACAACTAAATAAGTCAAAAATGTCTTATTTAAAGAAAAATTTGGCTACACCCGACACCCCCGACCTTCAACACGAAGTTTTAATTGTGTTTTAATATAGCATTTGTATATGAAAACTTCATCTTGATTTTAGGGTAATAAGGATAATTATTTTGGTTAGTAGTATTGACCAAGACATAAAAATAATAAATAAATAAAAAAGCAGCTTCCATCGAGTTTTATAACTAAATAATCCCAACTTGTGTACTTCATATTAGGGAAACATAAACACTAAATTAAGTTGTGTAATTCTTTAAAACATGGCATCTAATCCAATGACTCACTGTATTATATTATATATATAATTTGTGGCATCCAAAGTCAACAAGTCGTTGTAGTATAGTGGTAAGTATTCCCGCCTGTCACGCGGGTGACCCGGGTTCGATCCCCGGCAACGGCGAATTTATTGTTTTTTTATTTTTTTTTGTATGTTTTTTAGCCAATTTAGTAATTTCTTATTGTTTGACTGCAATTTGCAGGAATGATTACAAGTTGTATATCGTCACAATTTAAATTTCAAACAGCTTAACCGTCAGGTTGACATAATATGTTCAATACACCCAAAATCCATGGAAATCTTTGTTCATTTCTTTTGTTAATTCCTAATTTCCAGAATGCTTGGTCAGTAAGAAAGTGAGGGGAAACGTTAGAAAATGCAAGAAAACTAGTGGGTTCAAAGAATAGTTCAAAAGAAAATTATAGCTGATATGTATTCATGATCGGAACACTGCCATATTTGTAAATTGTAGTAGTCCACACTCCAGACAAATTCATTGAAGCATCTCTCTTCTTACTCATTCCTCCTCTCATCCCGATTCTCTAGAATTTTAGAATATAGTAAACCAAAGGCAAATATGATAGGCCAAGAAGAAATATCAATAAGCTTATCATCAGTTTGCGCATAATTGATTGCAGTAACAATACACTGACAAAGAGCACAAACGGATCCAACAAAATCCTTGAAGCTACCAAAAGGCTTATAATTTTGCGATGCATTATAAAACCAAGGTAACCACCTCCAGATAAACTGTCCTTTTTGACCTTTATAAATGAGCTCAGTAATGCATATAAACAAAGCAACAAATGATAGTAGCATTGCAAATAGTTCATATTGAGCTTTATGTGTGGATGAGAGTTGGTCAAGAACAGCTGAGGGAACCTCGAGGACAAAGTTGGTGATGACAAAGATCCACTCTAAAGAAACCTGTATAGAAATTAAATAAAATCATCATCATTTACTTGGACAATATGCTAAATCATTTCCCATAATTTCTTTCTCTAATTTTAAACCTTTCGGCTCAAGCTATATGTTCCGCAATGTGTTCTATGTACAATGTTGCTATTATTTGGTTCGACATCAATGATGTAGGAATCTCCGATCTCAGGAGAGGTACGCTGTTGAACTAAAATGTTCAAGGCTTCATTTATCTGTTCAATCAAGAAATTAAGAAGTTTGACTATTTATATGAAGTGCAGTTGAAAAACAGTAAAAGCTGCCAATCTTCAATGTTTAAGAAAAAAAACACCATAGAACTTTTGTTTAAAAAAGAAAAGGATTGACAGAAGAGACTGGTTATACTTCACCCAAATGATTGCCTTTAACCGAGTAAACTCATCTGGAGAAGCTGCCCTTTGAACAAGTATTTCAGCCATGCGACCATAATCTACAGACTTCAAGAGTAGCATTGCTCGAGTCAGAAAATTACAAATGAACAAAAGAATTCATGACAAAATACTTGATGCAAATGATCCACCAAAAGCCATTTTCTGCTGGCATCACAAGTCCAAAATAAATCCTACGATCCAAAAATGATATAAAGTAAAGCTGAAAGGCAAGTAATCAGGAAGTAGATATCACAGCAACAAATAGTATCAGAAATTTGAAATTTTAGAAGAAGTCTTACTGGGGAGTTTTTAATGTCTTGAAGAAACTTTGAAAGGACTGAATCAGCTTGTTGCCGAATTTCATGACTAGAATCACTTAACATATTAAACAAACCTGAAATTTATCCAGAATTTCTGAGTTTAATCTCAACAAGTAGAAAAGAAGGACACCTGAAAACCAGGAGAAAAAGCAATTTCAAAATGTTAAATACTATTTACCATCAAGAAAATCGGGAAGAAAACCCAGCATATCAATATCTGGAACACTGTCCAATACAGTGATCCATCCAACCAAAAACTGTCGGACATAGGGATTTAGAACATTCATCCGCTCTCGTAACAAGGGTATAAATTCTTCAATGCTGAGGAGAACGAACACCATAAAACAACAAAATTCACATTATAAAAGCAGTTGCAAAATTCTTGTTCCAGTTTTTGCCTCCAATCACAAGAGCTTCCAATTTATTATTGGAAAAAGGAAGATTGCGCACCCGAATTGATCACTTTCAGTGACAATGTCCTGTTTCACATAGTAAAATCTGAGAATTGATCCAACAAAAAGGAATTCCTACTTCAGAAAATTCAATGGTAAGTTAAATATTTATGGGAGGGATGGAGAATCCACCTTTACAAGGCGATCTAAAAGATGTGCAGCACTTTGTACATTGGCATCTGAATCTGCCGAAAGCTTACATAATGCATCAAATATCTGATTAAAGAATATGATGAAATCTCCTCTAACAACCTGTGGAGCAGCAGCAAAAACTTAACATATAAACCTCAATATAAATTTGGGAGATGAAACCATAAAATGTAAATCACCCAATCAAATCTCACCTTTGCAATGTTATACAGAGCTTCACATGCGTAGTAACGAACTCTGCTATCTTTATCAGAGAAAGAATTAAGCACGGGTGGCATTATTTGCTGTAGTGTCGCATCAGAATAAAAAATAAGGAAGAAGTATACCAGTAAAGAAAGAGGAAAAACCAACAGACAAGAAAATTTGATACGAAAATTCTAGAAGATTATACTGGGAGAAATCACGAATATAACAGTGAAGAACACGAAAAAAGAGAAAAATCAACACACAAAAGAAAAGTATTCAGTAATACATTCAAGTGTACAAGAGAGTCATTGACAGCTATTTTAGAAGTATAAGGTTTAATTAATCTAGTCCATGCCCCTTTCCCTTCTGCACTCCGAAGAATCACACCTCCCCTTCTGCGATCCAAAGAAGCACACTACACCCGTTCTCCACTCCAAAGACGAACACTATACCCCTTCTCCACTCCAAACACACAATACACCCCTTCTCCATTCCACAGACACACTACACTTCTCCACTCCGAAGACACAAATAAGCAGAGTAGGAAAGAGGCCTCCTCCCAGTTGCTGGTACTTTAGTACATCAGATAAGGCTCATTTCTTTTAAATCTACTGGAGAAAACACCAAACACGAACTAAAAATCTCCATCTATAAACATCTCCAAGTTTCTGAAACAGAGGATAATCTCCAGCAAGCATCACCAATTATTAAGGGACTCCCACCTTGATGTCATTTCAATGTTGCAACCATACTAGATGACATCTATAAGAGTATCCATTTCTTTTATGACAAACAGTAATCTTAATCGGCTAAGTAAGAGGCATCATTTTCTAGAAATATGTGTATGTGTAACTACATAATACAGATCTGGGAAATATAAAAACAAAGTCCTTGTTCAACAAAATTTAAGAAATATTAGTTGCGTTACTGCAGAACTTCAATGACAGTCATTCAGCGTATCTTTGGTAACAAAATGGGATGAAACACAAATGTATTACCCTAGCCAGAATAAAACAACTGATTAACTAGTCACTTATTATTATCAAAAGAAACCCTAAAAGCTTGCACTGTCACATTCGAATGTCATTAAGTGACACATAAATGATTCATTCAAAAAGTTATAAGAAATTTATTCAGCTACCTCAGAGACTCAAAATTTCAAAGAGATGAGTTGACACATGTTATAAATAGATAAACAAATAGTGAAAAGAAAATATTACCATATTTCAAACTTATAATAATATCTACAACTATAGTTCAAACGGTTGACACTAAACAACTATTCCAAAGTTTAACAATCCACAAATAAAAATCTGAATTTGATTAAATGAACATCACAACATTAAAATATACAGCTCACCTCAAGATACTGAGCTGCTTCAGAAGTCAACCCAATAGTGGCGGCAGCTAATCCTATCAATCCTCCCTACACAGCACGACAAACATCCTAAATACAATGAAAAATAAAACCTTTATATATGCAGTACCCTAAACAGTCAGTAATAAGTAATAACAGGACTTGTACCAAAATTACAAATCTATCTGTCATTCATAACTCATATTTTCATATGAATTTCAAACTTCTTACTTCTAAGAATAATAATTCTGGATTTTCCACTATAAATTACAAATTTAAAGTTAAATCTGGCATAAATAATCTTGTAATTCATAAGCATATAATATTGTACTCTACTAAAACCTACACATAGCAATTTAAGTAAAATTAATCAAAAATTAATGGAATTAAACAAATAAATAAAAAAACCTTCCGGCGATTCTCTTGGCCCGAGTAGGTGAACTCGGTGGTCAACAAATTGATGACCACCGAAATCTTCTCATGAGCGCCCGCCACCGCCAACTGCTTCACTATGCCCTCAACCTACAAACAGAAACGAAACACTGGATATCAAAAACGACGACGAATTTAACTACTTTCCACAGATATTTTGAGAAGATTAAACAAAGAGAGAGTATTAATTTCACCTCGAGGGCAGCATTTTTGCGCTTATCGTAGAGCTTATCGGCGAGATTACGAAGGACTCCAGTAGGAATCACAGCGTCCGCCATGGAAATTGTAATCAAAACCCTAAAAATTCAATACTCGTTCTCGGTTCGACGAGTAAAAAGAGCAGAGAATCGTTTCTCTGCTCTTTTTTCTCTGCAGATTTATAAATTGTGTTGTGTGGGTGTTTTTGCAGATTTGATCACTCAAAATGATGTCATTAAGATTTGGTCAGTCAAAATGATCTCTCAAGAAGCTGAAATTGTCATGGTTTATGGGGTTTTCACGCAAACTTCAATGTGGGGTAGTGTAGCCAGGAGTGGTGAAAACCGTATGTTTTAATTTTTAGAATTGACGATGGAAATGGAATTAGGATTCCTAATTGTCTTATTTGCTTATTGGAAACGAGTAAAAAATTGGAATCTCATGGATAATCAAATCCACAAGTATTCCTCAAAGTTTTGTGAGGAATCCTAATTCTTCAGGTAGGGAGGGAATCCAATGAAATAACATTTTTTACTCCATTTTGAATTTCTATAGGGTCAAAAAAAGTAATTTAGTTAAATGATTTATTATTTTATAATTTAGTGAACATTTGTTAAACAGTTGTTCTGGAGTTGACCATCCTTGACTACCATTGACCGGTCATAGACTATTATTGACCGGGTGTTGACCATCATAAACCGACGTTGATTGGTGATAACCAGCCATTAATTTTTTTGTTTTTTAGTTAGATACTACTGTTTAAGTAAAAAAATAATGAGTTTAAAAATATAGTATTAAATTTATTATTATTATTTACATAATTATTTTTTATTTAACTATATAATCATAATTTTTAATTTACATTGAATATTTTAATGTTGAGAGTATTTTTATCACTTATCACATATTTCCATTCTAATATTCAATTTTATAATTAAGCAATGGATTCATAATTCATTCCATCATTTATTCACTATTACATTTTCGATTTCCATTTCCTTTTCAATACAGTTCCAACAAGTAATGCCATCATGATTTTACCTTCTTACCCCCTTCATTGGATTAATGAAATTACCATTTTAACCCTGTACCGTGAGAAAAATAAATGGCCTCATTCAAAGGGTGGTGAGTGTCAATTTTTTGAATGGTTTTGGATTTAAAAGGATAAAAAGGCCTAAACTTGGTAGCACCTGTTATTACAGGAAAACCTAAGGATAGTCTGCGACAAAAGCCCGTTTATTTACGCCCAGGCCCATCAATTAGGGTAAAATGATGAAATCCCAATATAATTCATACTTCATAAGTATTAAATTTCTATTTGACAACTGAGAAAACATGATAATCAACTTACTAGATAGCCAGGTTCAAAAGTTAATTCAATTTATTTGGTACGGTTTTTTCAATCAAAACTCATGAAAAATAGAGCTTATTATAGTAGATAATATAAAAATAGAAATTAATGAAGAATTTTTTTTTTATTTATTTAGTTTGTAAACTAAAAATAAAAAGTTTTCTAATTTTAAATTATTAAAACTGGATACAAATGTAAGAAAGAGTCAAACTAAAATTATTATTGGACAATTAACATTTTAAATAAGTTTAAAACATTTTGTTAACGTAAAAATTTTTTTTGATGATCGGGGTGTCTGGGCCAATTTGCGCGCACTTCAACTAATCCCTAAGATTCATTGAACATCATACAAATCTAATGTTAATGTGATAGACGGCTTCAAGGTGATTCGAACTAGGAAGTCAATGAAGGAAGCAAACCTTCTTAACCACTAAGCCAACCCCTTCAGGTTTTAGCAACACAAAATTAGCTTGTATAGAGGTCCAATCAAACAGTGAAGAAATGCACTAAATAAATACATGATATTAGCATATATAAATCTTATAAGCACCAAAATAAAAAAATTAAAATCAATTGGTCAATCTCTCTAGAAACTGGAGAGTTATCATCAATTGGTCAATCTCTCTAGAAACTGGAGAGTTATCTCATAAAAATATATTTAAAAGTCTCTCTTAATTTACTAGTTTAATGATATATAAGCCATAATATATATGACAATGGTCAATTATAATTATCATTTCCTTATTTAACTGCGCTGCTAAACTTGGAAGAAATCTTTCTCCCTACATATAAAGACATTTTCAAAATTATTTTTAGAGGAGGGAGAATATGACTCAATTTTTATACAAAATAAGTGGACAATACAATAATATAGAGTAATTATAAAAAATAAAAATAAAGTATCGATAAAGAGAAAAAAAAAATTTATAAATAACCCAATAGATGTGACCAATTCAAGAAATATAATTGTAAAAAATCAACGTGTCACATTTTTCGTTATATATTCTTCACGCAAAAGATCAACTGCCTAACAACCAAATCACATTCTCAAACAGTGATCTTTACTTTAACCATATAATCCAAGACCTTTTCAATTTGAAGTGTGACACATTTGATACGACTTTGAAGGTGCAAATGTGATATTTTGAATCATTGTCATTTCACTAATTACTTATTATAAGTTTATTTATATATATATATATATATATATAGGTAACATAATAACATCAAACTGTGAACAACATGACAACATGATTTACTTTCGTCAACTAACTTTTAAAATTAAATGAAGGATTACTTATATCATAAAATATATATATATATAAAATAAACAACACGTTCCCACCTAAGGTTTAGCGAAATCTTAAGTTGATATCTCTGATTTCATTTATTCAAGATTCCCACTTTTAAACTAACATTGTTTTCTTTATTTTAAGAGTTGAAGGGCAAAACGATCTTTTATTATAATTTGAAGTTAAAACGTCAAAATAATCCCACGTCTCAAATTTCTCTCCACCTCCTCTTTGCCTCCACCTTTACCATCGTTGGCTAGAGATCCTGGTCGAGATCGTTGGTCTCATCCTACTGCCACCACCAGCTAGCCACTGTTGCCAAATGACAAACTCAAACACTTCGAAAATCAACCAATCAACCCTAGAAATCCCAAAGAAACAAATTCGATTTGTCCAAAACCAAAACAAAATCAAACAAACACGATCAACCTCCATTTATAACCAAAGCTCTGACCCTCCAATCAATTCTCCGAAACAATCTCCAAAATTAAATTTCACAAAAAAAACGCAATGAAGAACACGAACCTCTCGCCCAGTGAACAACAACTAACTAGTTGTTAGGGACAGAGAGGTTTTGTAAAGTGAGAGTTGTTGGTTGCGGTAGTGGTGTCCAATTGGATTTTGGTCGTGGGAATCCGGTGAAGAACAACAAAACGCTAAACCTAACGGCGTCGACAATTGGAGGGGTCAATGCATCAGGAAACAAAAGGGCTTTGGAGTATGGACTATGGGGAAGATGATGGAGATGACAAGGGGGTTCAACTCCATCAGAAACATCCCAGATCGAGCAAAAACCAAGAGGGGGCGCAGTCACTTGAGTTGCCAAAAAAGGCCCAAAACGGCTAGAAAAACAGTCAAATAGTGGTGAATGGGTGGAATGTTGATAGGTGGTGGTGGTGGTGGTAACTTTGGGGTTTCAAGAGGGAGAGAAAAGCATTGTTGTGGCTGAGGGAGAGAGAGATAGAGAGAAGCGCGGAAGAGAAGAAGAAGAAGATGGGAGGGTAGTTTGGTAATAGCATGTCGTTTACTCTAATTTTTAATTATTTGTTAGTTTAAGGGTGAGAATCTGTAATAAATGAAATCAAGTGTATCAACTTAGATTTTCCTAAACCTTAGGTGAGAACATGTTGTTTACTATATATATATATATATATATAATTTGAACTTTGAAGCTTAAAAAAAGCTGAAAATGAGCCATTGAATAAAGGAAAATAAGAAATATAAGTCCACCAAGGCAAGTGGCAAGTTGCCCTTGAAAGCGTGTTGTTTGTAAGCGTAGGTGTAGCTAAAACATGTGATAAGTTTTTCAAAAGCATTAGAAAGTAGAATTCGTCTTGGTGAAATGTTTCATGTGTGAAAGGAAGACTAATTAATAAGTTAGATTGATGCCAAATCAATAACTTTGAACGTTGAAATTCTAGAGAAGAAGGAATCATTTCAATCAATCAAGTTAATGTGAACACAAAAAGTACTATATGATCTTTTAATTTTTACAAGAGATCTCAAAAGAGTTCAATACAATAATCCCTAATTTTAATTAATTAATTAGTAATTGGAGCTTGGGAAAAACAAGTATATGAAATTAATTATTATTAATAATAGATCTGAGTGTGGATTCATAAGATTGCCTTGATCTCACCTAAGATTTCAGGAATCAATCGTAAGATGTGACAATAACAATATAGTATTTTTAAATTTATTAAAAAAATAATATAGGAAGTGGGGGCAGATATTAAATATTAGAATTAATAATTTTTCAAGAAAGAGAGCAGTCAAATTAAGGTATCTTCTTCCAAGTGTTGAACAAATTTGGCGAAGGCCAGCCACCCATCTTTATCTACGCAGCTGACCTTGGTCAACATAGTTATCATCAAAAATAAAAATATTGGTCAAACCCAAAATTTATGACATCAAAAATAGATTTATTAAAGCAGGATTCCAGTCCGGTTACAATAATTACTGATATTTTATTTTCTCCGATATTTTAGTTATAAATGAAAAAAAAATCCGATATTTTTTTAATTATTTGTTTATGAATATGTACATGTTTTAATTTTTTTGAAAAATTTAATTTTTTAATATACTTTTTTAGTAAGTTTCTGAAAAAGGTATTATCAAACTGATAATATCTCTAATATATAGATATCGAGTATATTTATATTTTTGGATCAAAATAAAAGAGTATTAAAAGAATTATTTCATTCTTTTCCAATAATAATAATAATAATTTTTACTATTTATTATTAATTATTATGTTACGAGTATCGTGAGAATATAGGATAACAATTGTGAACGGTTGAAAGAGTCGTCTAAGATTGAATCTTTAAGCTTAACTAAATACCAATATCAAGCTCTTTACCCACCACTTTCCGCAGGAATAAACCGTGTCTTTATCAGTACCTCTTTCTTTATTAGATTTTTTTTCATATATATATATATACTTTTCAATACGCTTCAAACTCCTCCAGGATTCATAGCAAAGCAAAACTGTTCTGAAAGCTTCTCTCTAGCGGAAGAAAGAAGAAAAAAAATGGAACTGAAGAAAGAAGAAGGCAGCAAGAACAACATGAAGGTGGTGGGTGGTGGCGTGGCGATTCACAGCCAGGTTATGAAGATCAAGCAAGAGACTGAGAAGATGAAGCAGCCGGAGATAAGACAAGTGGCTCACGGAGTCCCAAGGCAGCGGCCGCGGTCGCCACTGGGGTTGGCGGAGAGAGACAGAGCTACTGTTTGTTCATCAGTTGGGGTTTTTAGAAATAATTATCGTGTATGAATTATAGAAAGTTATTAACTTTGATGATGATGATGATGATGTTCATATGGATAAATTTTCTTTTTCTATGTTTTTAGAACTAGAAAAAACTTTGTGTTAGTTTATGGGGTTTCTTGTTTGTTTCGGTTGTACATGTCTTTGAAACCAGAACTCCCTTCTTGTTTCTTTTTTCTTGTTTTCTTTTGTTTGTTTTCTGGGAAAACTTCATAGAATGAACAGAAACAATATCTTCATAAAAAAACGAAGAAAAAAATAACAGTTTTGACACATCAGATACATATAATATTCAATCAAAAGTTAAAAGTACAGATATATGCATATTCGATCAATCAAAAGTGAAGTACCGATATATCTATATTCGATCAATCAGCCATTAATTTTAAAATGATTTAGGTGTTAGTTGTGACTGTGGAAGGTGGGTATGTTTTACTTCAATTGATTTTTGAGATTTTTGTTCAAGGTTTGGTGTACCAAAACCTAGCAAGTGTGAACGAAATTGGTGGTCGTCTGTATAGAGCGAGCCGCCTTCTAGAAAACGGAGTTCAACTTACTAATTCTTCATTTCCATTATTATTAGATTTCTTAAATAAAATACTAAAAAAAGACTCAGATAATTATAAATCAAATAATTAAGATAAATACAACTCAAATGTAATTTATCTTAACTTATTATCCTAGGAGAAGAACCATGATTTAGTTTTCATTTTAATATGATCCCTTAAATACAAAGAAACTGCCCTTTCCCCTGTGACAAAAAAAAATATATATTCTTGGTCTTTTCATGTAAATTTTTCAGTACAATTTAGTTTTCAGTTTACTAGTGATACATATTGACTGCAATTACTAAGTAATGATGTAAACATTAGCAGAAATACCAATTCAACTATCAAAATTTTTCAGGAAAAACATAATCAAATTGCTAAAAGCATCCGAAATGGGTACAAAATTAAAGGAAAATAGGCAATGAAAACCTACATGGCAAGAGGAAGAAAATGAAATAGTCGAGGCCAGCATACGGCAGTAGATGAATCTTGAACTGTCGTTTTTCAGCCTTGCGTAGCAGTTGTTTCCTTACATGATAGTAACTTAACCCTCTTTGAGAGATTTCTCATTATGTCTATGATCATAGATTTCTTCTCGATTCTGAACCGGATGGCCAGTTTAGTAGAAGCTGAAACTCCCTGTTTCAATAGGGATTCATCTTCCATTATTTTTGTAGGAAAATGTTCTAGTGCAATCACACATAATGCAATAAGAGTGCGAAAAACAGCTACTTCATTTGCAATTCCAAGGGGAGCTTCAGCTGATAGAGATTTCAGTGTGTTCAAATCATGCTTCTGCACTGTTTCCAAATCACTTGCTAGTAATACTCTTAAGGCTGCCAACAAACGTCCCTCTACCAAATCCGGACCTCCTAAGGTTACCTGTTAGGATAAAATTAAAAAAAAAAAAATACAAAAAGAAAGAAGAGATAAGTGGTCAAAAGTATAATAGTTTCTAAACAAGGATTTTCATCATTTTTCTTAAAACTGTGTTAAAAGTTTTATAGTAAGCTGTTGTTGGTAGTATACTAGTATTTCATGGCTCGTAAAATGCTGCTCGAGCTTATACCCAAAAGGATTGGATCTAAAATGTGACATCCAGGACCAGCATTTTGCATGAAGATCAGGGTATATTCTTTAAGCATTTAAAAAAATAAAAAAGAAAGAAAGAAAGAAACGAATTAGAAGATTTGCTCTGTTTCTTTCGGTAAAGACTGAACTACTGAAGATGTTTTCTCATTGAATTTCAGTCACAATTTTTTTGAAAATAGAGTAAAGAGAAAACGAGTACAATGGAAATTACTGGCANTAAAAGTTTTATAGTAAGCTGTTGTTGGTAGTATACTAGTATTTCATGGCTCGTAAAATGCTGCTCGAGCTTATACCCAAAAGGATTGGATCTAAAATGTGACATCCAGGACCAGCATTTTGCATGAAGATCAGGGTATATTCTTTAAGCATTTAAAAAAATAAAAAAGAAAGAAATGAATTAGAAGATTTGCTCTGTTTCTTTCGGTAAAGACTGAAGCTACTGAAGATGTGTTCTCATTGAATTTCAGTCACAATTTTTTTGAAAATAGAGTAAAGAGAAAACGAGTACAATGGAAATTACTGGCAAAAGTTGTAAGCAGCATAAGTCAGGTTGTTGGTTAAGACTTTTGTCCTCAGGTTAATTGTGACAATAGATAAAGGCATATAGCTGCTAAGCCTATTCACTTTCGGATCTGACCTAATTTTGCCAAAAGAATAAGCTGCTTCACACTTTCTAAACCAAGCTCACCCTTAAATAGGAGAAGTATCTTGACCAGAATTTGAGAAGAGCAGAAGAGAGTGATAAAAGTAGCCTTATCCATAGAGCACTAATATGATGTGTGCCCTTCAATTAGTTAAAAGCAATTCAATAGGAAACAAATCATAACAAGACAAAAGTAATTATAAACCTTGGAAATTGAAGCTTCTCCATCTAAATTTAGCTGGGACAAAAATTGCTGCTGCCACGCAGGTGGAGAGGAGAAGTTTGGTGATGAAACCCCAGCAGCCATACTAGCAGCATCCATAAGCGCTCCATCATATCTTAGCTCAATGGTGTCATAAGGATTTGAACGAATCACAAATCCATAATCCAGCAAGAAAAGATCATTGTTTAGGCACCCATAATTAAGAAGTAAAGAGTCGTTTTGCTTGATCTCTGTTTCTGCTATAACCTGTCTTCAAGAATGAGAAGCTTTAGTTCTAGTGTCGCAAAGAAGTATACAATTTCTTTTCAGAAGATATAAGCGATTGAGGAATATAAGAAAACAAATTAGAGAACCTGCCTTTATTAGCAATTTTGCATCGCCTGCATCTTCTTCCTGAACAATTTGAGCATTTGGATTGAAGCTATGGTTGCACATATCTATAAGAGGAAGCATCATGGGGATTTCATTGCGGGTCCCATCTGCAAGCTTTTTTCCATGCAAACGAAATGCCCTAGATGAGACTGCCGACATAGCCCATCCAAGAGCTGATGCACCTATTTCTTGGCCCCCAAAAGGGTGATCATTCGGTTTCAGACTCTCTAGAGCACGTCTGACTTCTTGGTCAAAATCAAGAAGAAAACGACATCTTTTGTTTACCTGATTTAAGAAGATAAATTTTAAGAAACTACTGGTCCCTTTAAAGCTAATTGAAAATCTAGAGCTGTTTAAGAATTTAAACAAAGGTATATATGTTCCCTTCATTTGGCCACCATGGTCATGAGCCTTTTGCAGTCACTTCAGAGCAAAAAAACTACATTAATATCTTAGCTATGAGTTGGTCATGAGTTTGTCTTAAGCAGGCAATCATTTCCAATTTCCAGCACGGCTCTAAAAGTTTGGACCAAACAACCTTTGTTATTCAACTGTTAATATTAGCTATGAGTTGGGCAAACGATATACCTGGTAAAGAAGAGGGGCATATTGCAAGTTCTTAATATCCTCCCCTTGAAAGAAGATTGGAACACTGAAAGTTTCAGGAAGATTGCTAATATATGGCCACCAGAAGCTTCCCACCTTTGCTCTTTCTTGCAGAAGCTTCAAACCCAATTTCATTGCCCATAGTTCCTCTGCCAAATGCTCCCACAGTGTCCACTTTACTCAAATTCAAAACTCTAAACATCCTAATTTACAAAACTTGAAGTTACCAACCTATTTTGCATTTAAGTAAATTTATCTGACATCATACAGCAGCAGAGTTTTACTTGATTAAATGATTCATACAAAACTCTAATGTGAGAAACTATCCAATCAACAAGACAATAGGAATTAGGCCTGCTCAAAGCATAAGAAGGAAATTTCCATCGCTGGTATTCCTGTCTATTCCAAAAAAACTGAAACAAACTTAGCCACAAGTTTATCAAATTTGAATGAACTACCAAGTAAATCTTACGCATTATGCTTACTAGAACAATAAAATTGCAACATAAACATTTTAGTGCCTTTAAAAACACCACAAATGAGCTCAAACTTCATCAAAATTCCAGAAATCAGTCATCTTTTAAATCGAGTTGTATTAAACAAAAAGAAACCCCATTTCTTATAACAAATACGCAAAATAACATGAGACGATTACTAAATTTCTAGCAATGTCACGATAAAAAATCCTAATGATCGCCAACTAAGATAATACAAGGCAAAGAAAACCTATAGGCCAAAGATTAAGTAAAGTTTCCATCAAAATTATCACAATTAATCTACATGAAATTTCAAAATAGAACCTATTTTTATTTTTTGTTCTTTTTTTCCATAAAAATTCATATATTCAACAACTAATTTCTACTTTCTAAAGCAAACCAATACTTCTAATTATCCATATTAAAAATCTAGAACACTAACAATAAACTATAAAGCACCAAACTTTGAAGTAAAGTAAGTTCATAAATAATCAAAATAAAAATAAAAAAATCCCAAAAAAACTAACCTGGAACTTGTCGGGCTAAATTGACAAAAACAGAATGAGCTTCATCTCCAGCGTCGGATTCAAACCTCAATGGTACATAATCAGGAAGAGCAATAAGAAGAGACCCTTTTGGAATGTCTTGAGAGGCGACCAATCCAAGGCCATAGCTGTCGTCATCTTGCTGTTGTGATATCTTGACGGCCTGGTGCACGAACCCGCCTTCTTTCTTCACCCACTTGAGCAGGTCCGGCGGCTGCGGCACCAGCCGCGTATGGTAAGATGCGGCGCACGTTATGGGGCGGATGTGATGAGTTAGAGACGACATTATTACCATCTTTGAAGCTGCCATGGCTGCTCAGTTGCAGCTCAATTTCGCTGTGTGAAGATAAAAAGGCTTTGCGTTTGTGGGGGTAGTTTTGGGAACTCCTTGCTTCTTCTTTCTTATTATAAATTTTTTAAATATTATGATTCATTTTAAATATATGTTCAAGTTAAAGTGTTATGAAAACAAAAACAAAAATAAGAAAAATATTATATTAATTGATATAATTTATTTTAATAACTAATATCAATTAAATAAGATATAATACATGTATATGGTATCAAACCATTTATATATGACTTTATTTATATAAGAATAATTGTTTTTAATATAAATACTATTGATATATCTTCCAAATTCACTCATTTTATTCAATTATAATAATAGTTTGAAGATGTAACATTATAATAATAACTTCAAAATGTTAAGAATTTTGGCTATCACAAAATAGGCTTCTAGTTCTGATAATTTAAAAGCATTTTTCTATAAATTTTTATAATATTTGGTTGAAATAACAAATAAATTTCTTAGAAAGAAAATTTCAAATGCTTTATATAAAGTGGATTTTGAATTTGAAAAGTAGTTTTAATGACACAAAATGTATTTTCTAGTTNATCGATATATCTTCCAAATTCACTCATTTTATTCAATTATAATAATAGTTTGAAGATGTAACATTATAATAATAACTTCAAAATGTTAAGAATTTTGGCTATCACGAAATAGGCTTCTAATAATTTAAAAGCATTTTTCTATAAATTTTTATAATTTTTGGTTGAAATAACGAATAAATTTCTTAGAAAGAAAAATTCAAGTGCTTTATATAAAGTGGATTTTGAATATGAAAAGCAGTTTTAATGACACGATATGTATTTTCTAGTTTTTTTTAATATTTATTCTCAAATATACTCTCAATAAAAATAAGAAATTATAAATATTACTAATTTTTTTTAGGTGATTGAGGTTGGATCCTGCAGGAACACCTCACGAGCCCAATAGACCAAGCTACTAAGGTAATTATATAACAACAATGCTACGAACATCGAGACTGTGCACCGAAATCTTACACTGAATTACGTGTCATGTGACTGAGACCAGCCACGTATCCCGATAACAAATATTTTGCGAGTGAACGCCAGTTTATCAACTTTGAACGGCCGTTCACTGTTATTGGACGGGAGTCTATTATATGTGGACGTCTGTTTATACTTTAAGAAAAAAAAATTCTACACAAAAATAGCAAACGATGAACTCCCATCCATATTATATGGATGGGAGTCCATTTACTATAGATGGGGGGCCACATACAATGGACGTCCATCCATAGTTAAAAAAAAAAAAAAAAAATTCTAAACAAAAATAGTAAGCCCCTCTTCTTCTTCGCTCTTCTTCGTCTTCATTCCCCATATCAGCTCTTCTTCTTCTTCGTCTTCATTACCCTTGAATATCCTTTGTACCTTAGTGATTTCTGTTGATGATCTGGATAGATTGACTAGAGTTGAAGATAATGAGGTTTTCGAGATTCGCCCAGGTTCTCAATTGCCAGCCTTTTCTGATGCATTCACATCTGCTCATGTGAGAGATGTATTTGATACGGAAATGGATCAGGATAACAGTTCTGACAGGGATGGAACAAGCACCATATTTGAGGAAACTAAGAGTATCTCTGTCGGGGAAGTAATGAAAAGTCCAATTTTCAGTGAAGATGAGTCGTCAGACAACTCATTGTGAATTGATTTGGGTCAGAGTCCGTTGGGGTCTGATAATGCTGGGCACTTGAACAAACACCAAATTGCCTCTCCCTTACCACCCTTTTGGTTCAGTGGCAGGAAGAACCACAAGCAACTCTCTCCAAAGCCAACATCAAAGATGTATGGCAACCCAATTTTTGATGACAAAGAGGTAAACCTGGGGCCAAATGGTGACCACCATGTGCTCTCATTTGATGCTGCCGTTCGATCAGTTTCGCAGGAATTGGACTGTGTGAAGGAAGTTCTCGAAGAAGAGCAATTTGCAGAAACAACGGCATGAGTAAGAACAAAATGTTTTTTAATTTTTTTTTTAATTTACAATATGGATGGGGTTCCAAAATTCAGAGACGGTCGTCCATAACTGATGAACAAGCGTCCCTGCATTTTATTTAAAATTTTATTTTTTTAAAGTATGGACAGGCGTTCATTGTATGTGGCCCTCGTCTGTAATAAATGGACTACCGTCCATATAATATGGACGGGAGTTCATCATTATGGACGGGCGTCCACATATAATAGACTCCCGTCCAATAACAGTGAACGACTGTCCAAAGTTGATGAACGGCCGTTCACTCGCAAAATATTTGTTAACGGGATACGTGGTAGATCTGAGTCACGTGACATGTAATTCAGTGTAAGATTTTGGTGCATAATCCTGGTGTCTGTAGCATTATTGATTATATAAATATAGTAAACACTAAACAACTCCCCTATGGCTCCAGCCTCCAACACAAAACCGCCTAATTATTGCTAACCCTAGTGTTTATTTAGAAAAATGTTATCCTTACAAAGACCCATACAAAGAGAGCTACAAAGTGACATCATCCAGAAGAAAAAAACAAAGAAAAAACGGAAAAAGAGAGAGAGAGAGAGAGAGAGAGAGAGAGAGAGAGAGAAATCTGAAAATCAAAGATGAAGATTATCTTTATATGCCACCTTTGTATGTATCTTTGTAAAACTAGCATTGCTCGTTTATTTATGCCCATTTTTGGTTTTTAAGCTTGTGTATTTTTATGTGGCTCGTGCGAAGTATAAATTTGAAATTTAATTTGTTATCCGAATAAAAGATTTCTAGTACAATACACATTATTAATTGTTATATATTACATTTTACATCTTCAAAATTATATTATATATTAAAGTTTTACACCCAATTTTTCCAATATACAGTAGTAGCGAATAAATATACATTTATCTTTTATTTAATATTTATATAATCAATAAATCATTTACCCCTTTGTGAATAGGGTTGGAAACAAGATATTTAATCATGTAAGTGCTCCTGAGAGGACTGAACCTAACATAACGGAATCATATAAGTGCGATGAGATTCGAAACCGGATTCAACCATGTAAGAGGGGATTGCGACCCGACTCTAGACATATAGGTAGAACTGGAATCAAACCCTGACTCGTAGCGTAGGTGGAACCAAACTCGAACTTTGACTTTGTGGTTTGCGAATTCGAACCCCAACGGCCCAACCAACAACCCCAATTTTAAGAGAGCAAAAAACATAATGAACTTTCCAGGAATGTTTTCAACAAATATTTATAATAAAACTGAGATTAGTATATCCTAAACCATAGTTTAGACCTCCAAATTATACTTCATCACCAAACAAAAATTCCTTTCTTTTACTTAACACTTACCCAACTAATTAATTAAAATTAAAACTATAAAAATAATTCCATTAACTCCAAAATATTCACAGCATCTCATCTCCAAAACAGTAAAAACAGAGAACCCAGAAACTATAACAACGGAGAAAACAATGAAACATTTTCTTGAATCGAACTCGAATCTAAAAAATCAGTGAGTCAACTTTCTCCCTCCATCGAATCTTACTCAAACCTCGAACCCGTCATCATCATTACCTTAAACTCCTCGAAATCAATCGTACCGTTACCGTCACTGTCAACTCCACTTATCATCTTCTTACACTCGGCGAGAGTGCATTCATCGCCCAAACTCTTCAACACTTCGAATAGCTCCTCCGCCGTTATCGATCCGTCACCGTCAATGTCGTAGACGGAGAACGCGTCCTTCAAGTTGGTCATAATCTCCTCCGAATCGACGCCCTTGGTGTTGAGTACGACGAACTCGTTGAAGTCGACGAAGCCGTCGCCGTCGGAGTCGATTTCCCTCATCATCTTGTCGAGTTCGTCGTCGGTGGTGGCATGGCCTAGGCTTGCCAGAATGGCGCCGAGCTCCGACGCGGAGATCTTGCCGTCGCCGTTGGCGTCGAATCTCCTAAAAACATGCTCCAGCTCGTGGAATTGCGGGATGGTGGCGGAGATTGTCGGCTTGTGAAAGGGCATCGTGGCAGTGGCAACGTTGGGAGATTGTGATCCGTTGGAGGACGACAACGACGGCGTTTGTGAATTGGATTTCTTTTTGCGGTGAAAAATTGAACCAAAACCCATGAGGAGAAAACAAAAAGGGAAATTTACAGAAAGATGAAAAGAAAAGGAAGGGAGATGAGATTTGAAAAGGGAGATTTGGAATTGGGGATACAGAGAAAATGTTGAAATTGAGTTTGATTGGGGGGTTTAAATTTGGAAGAGAAAGGGAGAGAGTTAAAGGGAGAAATAAATGCAGCAAACAGGAAGATTGAAAAATTGAATTTGTTATTATTATTTTTTTTTTAATCAAATATTGGATTTAATTTAGCTCCATTAATTATAGTGCTGTCACGTTTTCCTAATCAAATATTGACAGATAGATTTCACAATAAATATTATTGACATGTTATTTTCATTTATATATTAAATGGAAAATTTGTGACAATTTAGATATAATTTTTCGATTTTCTATTTTAAGATATAATCCATAAAACATTTTAGTATAAATAAAAGAGAAATAAAATATTTATATAATGATTTTATAATGCTAAAATGATTTTAGAATATGGTGGACACATGCTTTTTATGTTAAACATGTTTAAAATATCTTATCCAACTAATTAAGAAATTTCGGACAAAATATTTATTTTAATTCTTTAATTGTTATGTTATATTTATCATTTATGATTGATAAAAAAAATAATGAAAATAACTTATTCTCATGTTTTTTTAATTGAAATTTGTATTTTTTTTAATTTTAATTGACCATTATCCTTTATACCTTATCCGACGTGTTCCTATTGTCACAGATTTATGGTAATTTAGTAAAATAAATTCCATTTTAGAAAAAAAGAAGATATTATATATTATTTTGTTGAGTAAAAATATGAAAGAAAATTTAAAATATTATAAGGTTGTTGTACTTTTATCTTCTTGACGTTTTCATGATCTATTTGGCTATCTAACTTTCCGAATAAAGTTAAGTAATTACTTAATTTAAAAAAAAAAAAACTATTTTTAGATAATAACCAAAAAAAGTTAGATGAAATTTTGTTTTAATTATATATCCAAGTCAATAAATTGTTTATCAAAAATATCTTATCAGACAAGTGAAGAAAGATTCGCTCTATACTTATCCTTATCAATTTAAAAATTTAATGGTTCAGATTTGATGTTAAATTTTTTTTTCCATAAAATTTACTTAAATACTAAAACCACTTAGAAAGTATCTTTCAACTAAAAAATCTTATGATCTAAACCTAACCCAAGCTCTTACGCTTTAAAAAAAATAATTTTATAGAATAATATTGTTGTAATAATATAAAAATACAGAAAGAAAGTTAATATAAAATAAAATTTATTCTCCTCCTAGCCTTTTACTTTGCATAAAGAACATGGAGAAATGAGAACAAGTAATTGAGATTCCTCTTAGAATCTTAAATAAAAATAAAAAAATACTATTCGCTACAAACTTATATAAAAGATGCGATATAATAAAGTCACTTATTTCATATATGACATATGTCATGAGATCCTTAATATATTAAAAATAAATAAGAATAAAAAAGCTAAGAAATGATCCATATAAAAGGAGATAAATAATTTGATGATGATATATCCATGTTATTTATAATTTTTTTTGAGTTGTTAATATACAAACTAATTATACAAATTTTTATATATAAATTAATGTAACACAATTACGTCATTCATCTATTTAAACGAGTATTTATTAAATTACCTTTTTATACAAATTCATTTCACTTTATAACATATCAGTTTGTATGGAATAGTTTGTATTAATTTCTGTTGAAAGTTAAGGGTTTGTTTAGTTCATTATTCTGATACTTTTTAGAATAATATTTAAAAAAAAAATTAAATTGGATGAGTATTACGATGTAAGATTTGAAAATTAACAAAAATACCCCATATGTTTATTTATTTACTAAACATCTCTATAATAAAATATTAAAAATTACAAAAACACTCCAGACCCACCCATTAAATACGGACAACCGACTACCACTACCAGAGTTGTCGTATCAGCACATGTCGATATGATCTTTTTCGACCAGATCCACGGTGGATCTGGCAGGAAAAAGCTAGATCTGACTATTGACGGCCAGATCTAGCATTTTCCTGTCAGATCTGGTCGCATTTGGTCGTCAACGACGGCTAAAGATATGGCCATCATTGATGGTCAATGACGACCATATCTTGGCCGTAGATTTGGTTTTTTCCGACTAGATCCACAGAAAAAACTAGATCGGCGCACTACTGGCTAGATTCAGTTGGTAGTGCACCATTATACCAGATTTCACCCAGCTTCCGGTAGTAGTGGTCGGAATCTGGTATAATGTGGGTTCCTGGGGTGTTTTTACAATTTAAAAAAAAAAAAATAGGAGTGTTTAGTTAAATTAACAAATTTAAGGGGGTTTAAAAGAAATTGAATAATATAGAATAATATTTTAAGAATAAATCAATTTTACTGTTTAACTTCATTGGGAAACCCAATAATAATATTTAGAAGAATGTATCAAACAGAGCCTAAATATTTAAGTAATTAAAAAAAAAAGAAGCTATTTTTGGATTAAAAAAAAATTAGATCAAGTTTTAGATTGAAATTTTGTCTTAATTATTTGTCTATGTCAATAAATTGTTTATCAATATCTATCAAGGGAAGAAAGATTCGCTGTTTATTTATCCTTATCCATTTAAAAATTTAATGGTTTACATTTGATGTTAAATTTTTTTTTGATAAGATTCTACTTAAATACTAAAACCGCTTCGAAAGTATCTTTCAACTAAAAAATCTTTATGATCTAACCGAAGTTCTTATGCTTTAATTTTTTTTTATAATATAAAATTAAAAAATACAAGGAAAAAAAAAAGGTTATCTTGCTAGATTGTAAATAAAACCTTTTGCTAAATTTTTTTTTTTTAATAACATAAAATGATAGTAATAATATAAAAATACAGAAAAAAGTTAATATATTGCGTGGATTGTAATTTTAGCCCTTTTTTAATATATTTTTGTTTTGTTAAATAAAATAATAAAATTTATTCTCTTCCTAGTCTTTTACTTTCCACAGAGAAAAAGTAGAAAAGAGGACAAGTAATTGAAAATCCTCTTAAACTAGAATTTTAAGAAAAAAAAATAATTAATGGTAAAACAAATCAATAAACTATGTTAATAATTCAATTTCATTCGAGTGATGCTAGTGATCTTAATAAATCCAACTTCTAAATCTACCCTATTAAAATTTTTAAACATATTTAAATGTCTATATAAATCTCATCCATCTGCAANATTAAAAAAAAATTAGATCAAGTTTTAGATTCAAATTTTGTCTTAATTATTTATCTATGTCAATAAATTGTTTATCAATATCTATCAAGGGAAGAAAGATTCGCTGTTTATTTATCCTTATCCATTTAAAAATTTAATGGTTTACATTTGATGTTAAATTTTTTTTTGATAAGATTCTACTTAAATACTAAAACCGCTTCGAAAGTATCTTTCAACTAAAAAATCTTTATGATCTAACCGAAGTTCTTATGCTTTAATTTTTTTTTATAATATAAAATTAAAAAATACAAGGAAAAAAAAAAGGTTATCTTGCTAGATTGTAAATAAAACCTTTTGCTAAATTTTTTTTTTTTAATAACATAAAATGATAGTAATAATATAAAAATACAGAAAAAAGTTAATATATTGCGTGGATTGTAATTTTAGCCCTTTTTTAATATATTTTTGTTTTGTTAAATAAAATAATAAAATTTATTCTCTTCCTAGTCTTTTACTTTCCACAGAGAAAAAGTAGAAAAGAGGACAAGTAATTGAGAATCCTCTTAAACTAGAATTTTAAGAAAAAAAAATAATTAATGGTAAAACAAATCAATAAACTATGTTAATAATTCAATTTCATTCGAGTGATGCCAGTGGCCCCTCATAATATATCTTAATAAATCCAACTTCTAAATCTACCCTATTAAAATTTTTAAACATATTTAAATGTCTATATAAATCTCATCCATCTGCAAAATAACCCTTATCTTTATATATCTTACTACTCATGCTATACTTTCTCAATCATTGTTATATATATATATATAAGCAATTGTGCATATTGACACCAAATACATTTTAATAATAATAATAAATATCAAACTTATAAATTATGTAAATGTGCAAATTAATTGAAGGTTGGAAACAATAAAAATAATAAAATAAAGTCAAGAATTTAAAGCATATATATGATTAATCAAAATTCATTTCTTCTTGATTGTTTCAAAATAAAATTAGGGTTTATGACATTAAAAATGAAATAAAATTTATAAATTAATAGCAAAATATTTATTTTAAATAGATTGTATATGAAATACTTTTGAGTCTTATTTAGTAATTTTCATTAAGGATAAAACTGTATTTAAGAAGAAAATAGTAATTGGGATCAACTAAGATAGAAAATGTGAGGGCAGTAGTGTCACTTATCTCATTTATGACATATGTCATAAGATCTTGGAAAATGATAGAGTCACCGAAGGTTGCGCATCGAATATGTGTACCGAATGACATGACAAAATCTTAACCGTTGATTAATATTAACTGATAATGAATCAACGGTCAAGAGTTTGTCACGTTATTCAGTGTACAGATTCGGCGCACAACCTTTGGTGGCTGTAGCATTACTCTAAGATCTTTAATCCTTAAAAACTAAGGATAAATGAGGATATATTAAAGATAAATAAGAATTAAAAAGCTAAGGAAAGATCCATATCAGATGAGACAGATAATTTAACGATAATATATGCATATTTTGGGCGTGTTTGTCTGAGCTTATGAAAATTGACTTATAAACAACAAGTTCTTATAATATAATTTTAGCTTCTAAGCATTTAAAATTTTAAGCAATTACGTATTTGATTAAAGTACTAATAAGTGACTGATAAGTAGTTGACGTGTTTGATAAAATGTGGCGTATAAGTTTATTTTATTATAAATGACTAAAAAATGTACTATATTAAATAAGGGTATACTATAGAATTTTCAAATTAAATAAGGGTAATGTGGTAATATACTTTGTCAAACTAACTTATAAGTAAAGTGCTTATAAGCCAAAAATAAAAAGTACCTCCCTCCAACTTATTTTTTTAGCTTATAAGTTTAACTTATAAACTCAAAAAAGTTATAAATAAACAGATCAACTTAATTTTAGAACTTATAAATTAGTTTGACCAGCTTATAAGCTTAGACAAACACCCCCTTGGCCCCTTTATATAATATTTTTTTTTAATGATACTATATATGAAACTAATTATAAAAATTGACGTGATACAACTCTTTTATTGTCACAGTATTCAAATATATATATATATATATGGATGATATTTTTAACTTAAAAGTTTTAAGTTATTTACAATAATAATAATAATAATACATATACTAATCTTCATCTTATATTAATTTTCCAATATTACATGAGTGTTTGGGTCCGCATATAACAAGTTAATTATTTAAAAATGGATTAACTTTTAAGAATTAAAAAGAGTAAAAGTTTGATCACGTGAACATAAATCTTTGGAAATAAAGAAGTAAAAGATTCACGGGCTTAAGCCAAAGCCAGTGCCCGACCGCCTCGCAATAATTCACCGACCGACCGACGGAAGTCGTGATTTAATCAAAACTTGGCCACCAACCTCGATGACGCTTCACGTGCGCGGCCAACCAAATTTGTAATTATTATATTCATATTTTGGTTGTAAAATTCAAGTACATAAATAATGTTGTATTTAATAAAAAAAATTACTAGTAAAAAGAAGAAAGTTTTAAGTAATTTTAAAAATAATACTCCATATGATATAAGATTATATATATTTAAAATTATACTTTGCATATAAATATTTTACATAATTTTAAAAACTTTTATTATTATTTATTTTCATTGCACTTTCTATCAAATATTGAATTAGGGATAAAATTATGAGTGAACTGTGTGCATATGGTAGCTTTCTTTTTCAACATTTTAGTATGTTATTACTTTTGAAATTTTGGTAAAGTGTGAAAGCGGTGGCTTCCTTTTATTTTATATTATTTTCTTAAAAATTTAGTATGATGGTTGTCTTTGTCAATAATTTCTTATATATTAAGATGAATAAATTTTTTTGTGAACAAAAACTTTTAGTAATACACAAACCAACCCAAGCTTGAACCTATGCTATGTATGATGAATCTACCTCATGCATGCATGAAACTTTACTAAACATTTATAACATGACTTTAATTTTTCTCATGTTTCATGATCAATGTGCATTCTTTATTGTGAATTGATTTTTATTTATCATCCATGTAAAATTAGATATAATGATGTGATATATTAGGTATATCACGATATTTATGCACAAAACTAATAAATTCATGTCATGTATACAATATTTTCTCTTTCATAATCTTTACATCCGATACGATGTCGGTTTACTATTTACACTAAACCATACGGTATGAGTAGATCAAAGTTTTAGCGAAAATTTACTTTATGTCATACACCCCACGTTATTTATACATTAAACATCAAGTTTGCTTGTCATTAATATATTATTTTCATTTTCATTATCCTAATACTCAACGTAATCACTAATTTTTTAAAGTGATTATCAACGTAAAATAGTGTTTTATTGACTTAAATATATAATTAACATAACACTCTTTTACGAGTCGTGTCTAGCCGGGACACCATTATGGGCACTAGGTTTATGGGAACAAACCATGTGCAAGAGTTTCATATAGTTGGAAAAGAGTTTAGGCTAAACTTATATAACCTTTGGTGTTTCTGAATTTGTTAGACGCATTTTGGATTCATAAGAACTTTTATCAAGTTATTACAACTATTTAGCTTTAAAGAAGTCAGCTAAAATAAACCAAACATGGGGGGCAACTTGTAATAGAACAAACTTCTAATTTGAGGTAGCAATCTGATTATTCACGCTTATCATGCAAATACTGGTAGGTAGACAGACAAATGCAGGATTGCGGCAGTGTCTATTGTCAATGTTTGAAAAGGGTGTCTTGTCATTCTGTGTCTAATTTGTTTTATTTTATAACTTCAACTCTCATTTTTGTTTTCACAAAATACCATATTCTATCGCCCATATAAATGTTTTTTTTTCTGCCACAATAATTTCATTTGCTCTTTTTTTTTTTTTAATTGGGAGACCAGAATGTCTGGACCAGTTTGTACATATCTCAATTAATCTCCAGGACTTATTAAATTATCTACAAACTCAATATTTCAAGATAAATCACAAATGTGATAGAGCAAGGTAGTTCAAACCCATGAAATCAATAAAAAAAATAAACTTTATTGACTGCCAAGCCAATCCTTTGGTATTTTTCATTTGTTTTTTTTGTGATCACTATTCCCCACAATAGTCACATAATATGAAGTTTTGTATATCTATAATTTTTACCTTTTTAATTATCGAAAGTCCTCTTTATAATTATTAAAAATCTTATGAAGTATTAAAATTCCTCAAAATATGTGGATTTTATGATTTCTGATAACCCTAAATAGATCTTATAGCATATATGAAATTAATCTTTTATTTGGATAAACGGTCATCTAATATTCGATAATTGATATTATTGATTTCTGGAGATATATATATATATATATATAAAACAATTTACCAGAAAATACAGGTAGTTTGTAGGCTTTATGACAATTTCATCCTTAAGGTTTAAGAAAAATATACACATCCAAAAGTTTCAAAAATAACAAATACATCCAAAAATGGATTATTTTATCATAATACCCTTTTTCTAATTATATATTATTTTATTTTTTATTTCTTCGATTTTTTTAACTATATAATGGTATTAATATTATAATCTTAAAATAATATATTTTCGGGTGCTTTTGTTACTTTTCCCAAACATTGAGGATGAAATTGTCATAAACCTGTAGTTTCCAGTAACAGTGAAGCCTGGGAGAGGGGCAGAGGGCCTTAAAGTCTTTGGTAGCTGAGACATTACGCAAATAATAGAGAGTAGAGACAATAAAAGCAACAGTGCCATGTCTTCTTGACTTTAACAAAGGATGATAATGAGGAATGAGTCAACCCCCCACATGGTGTTTGCTGTCAAAAGATTGTAGACCCCAATTTTTTGATAAAAATCTCCAAGAAATTTTTAGTATCCACTCAACACTCGATCAATCAATTATCTTTACCACTCAACCTTGTAAAAAAACCAAAATAAAAATAAAAGAAAGATACAAACTTTTGTAATTTATATCAAGTCCTTTTCACATTGAGTCTCAGTCTTCTTTTCATTCAATTGGAAGAGGAAGGAAGACTTTAGTAGAGAAGTGGGTTTGTTTGTTTTGTTCCATTCTCTGCCCTTCATGGAGAGAAAAAAACAAGCTTGAGATGAGAAAGTGCTAAAAACTGTGCTAGAATTGAACTATCTGAGCTGTTATGTTATGATGGACTCGAAGTCACTCAGGTTCATCACCTACCAATCTTTTTTCTCGATCGCCCGATCCGGTGAACTTGAAGCCGTGAAAAGGATTATTGATGAGTTGAAAAAAGATGAGGTTCCTGATGGCTCTTCTTTGGTCTCTGATCTGATGGTTATGCAAAATGATGCAGGGGAGACTGCCCTCTATGTGGCTGCTGATAATAATTTTCAAGAGGTGTTTAGTTACTTGCTTAAGTTTTGTGATGTTGATATTGTGAAGATCAGGTCCAAGTCTGATATGGATGCCTTTCATGTTGCTGCTAAGAAAGGCCACTTGGGTATGTTTTGATTTTGGTTATCTTTTGTGTGCTTTTGTTTGATTTGATTTGATTAATTCTTTATGTGTGTTTTAATTGGATTAGTTTACTTGTTAATCGTAGGGTTTTTTTTTTTTTTTTTTTGGTTGGAGAAGGAAGCTGATTTAGTTGCAAAATTATTGAAACAAAGACCATGATTTAAGCTAGTTTAGTTAATAATTTGGTTGTTTTTTAGTAGAAGCTCTTGATTTGTTAGTTCTTTGCATTTTCGGGGTTGTGCTACATGGCAGGATAAGATTGTTCTTATGGAGTGTCTGTGCTTGTTTTTATAGTTCATTGAAGGAGATTCAAATGCTTTAAATTTGAGGGTTTAGTGGATTTTTTTGTCTGTGGGAGAACCACTGCATCTTGTGTGTCATCAATATGTATAAATACCTGAATTTGAACCTTCAAATCATTAGCCAAAGTTTTTATTATATCTCTATGGTTATAAATTTGTTATATATTTTCCCAACTTGTAGCCATGTTTATTTTACTGTAATAAGGATATTATGGAATATTGTTGCTTATGTTTATGGTAGGATTAAATCAATGATAACGGGTGTAGATTGATTAACTGATTGACTAGCTAATCTAGGGGAACTTACAGTTTGATGATGTAGAAATGCTTGCCGATAGGAAGTCTTGCTAGAAAGACTTGAGAATTCATAATGTCATTTTGAATGGATTTCTGAATTGTGCATACACAAATCCTTTATCTTGAAAGGAGGGGCAAGAAATTAGTAATTTTTTCTGCTTCTTTGTTTAAGTCATTCCAAGCCACCTATTAGTTGCTAAACCTAAGAAATATATCCCCTCATCTGATTGTAAATTTGCAGTGGTTAGCATGACTATAGAGGTTTTGATGACAGATTTAAACATATGCTAATCTTGCCGCCAGTACTTCATCTCTAATAGCTTGGTAGGTTTCTTAACTTGACGCGGTCTTGACTTTTATCTTGTTTAGGGATTGTGAAGGAACTTTTGAGCATTTGGCCTGTGCTTTGCAAGTCATGCGACTCCACAAATACTAGTCCCCTTTATTCAGCAGCTGTGAAAGACAATTTAGATGTGGTGAATGCCATCTTGGATGCTGATGTCAGTTGCATAAGAATAGTTCGAAAAAATGGAAAAACTGCATTGCACACAGCTGCAAGGTATGGCCTCATTGATATGGTAAAAACTCTGATAGATCGTGATCCTGGAATTGTCAACATCAAAGATAAGAAAGGTCAAACTGCACTCCATATGGCTGTAAAGGGACAGTGCCCTTCAGTAGTAGAGGATATATTACTTGCTGATCATTCTATAATGAATGAACGTGACAAGAAGGGCAATACAGCAGTTCATATAGCTACAAGGAAATGTCGTCCACAGGTATGTTTTGTTGATATTACATTCTCGTTAACTCCTTATCATTAGTTATTATTTTTATCTGTCATTCTTCAGTTTGTTTTATATGCTTTTGATACTTCCAGCACTAAGTATATTATTATTCTTGCTTCCAATACCAAAAAGAAATAGAATAACTTACATACTGCTTCTTTGAATTTCTAATTGATGAACTACGTACTTTATGGGGAATTCACTTGCCACATTAGGACCACCGACTTCTTGCCAGGATTCTTCTTCATTTGTACATACAAAACATGGAGGGACACCTGTGGCTTTAGTAATAACTAACAAAGAAGAGAAAGAAGCATATAAATAACTATAAAGAGCATTGTTTGATAGAGAATGTTAATTCCAACATGAAAGAATTTATTCTTGGTTGGTATGTCTCAAATTTCAAGAATCCACTATGGATTCCTTTCCTTAATTCATAATGGTGTCTCTAGCATATTAAAAATATGAAAACTATGTAATCATTGCATGCTTTTGTAGCTCCCTTGAGTGAAACCTATATTTAAGAAAAGTTTCATGGTTGCCACTTTTGCTGATGTTCACAGTACTGACATTTTGTTATCTATATATTTCAGATAATAAACCTATTGCTAAGCTATACATCCATTGATGTCAATGCTATTAATAATCAGCGAGAAGCTGCCATGGATTTGGCTGACAAACTCCAATATGGAGAATCTTCGTTGGAAATCAAGGAAGCTCTTGCGGAGGCTGGTGCCAAGCATGCAAGGTTTGTTGGCCAAGTGGATGAAGCAATGGAACTTAAGAGGACTGTGAGTGATATTAAGCATGAAGTAAGTGCCCAACTCATACAAAATGAAAAGACCAACAGACGAGTTACTGGTATTGCCAAGGAACTAAAGAAGCTTCACCGAGAAGCTGTGCAGAACACCACCAATTCTATTACAGTTGTTGCAGTTCTTTTTGCCTCAATAGCTTTCTTGGCATTATTCAATCTACCAGGCCAATATATAGAGGATGGATCGCAAGCGGGGAAGGCCACCATTGGTGACAAAGTAGGCTTCCGTGTATTCTGCCTCTTAAACGCCACATCCCTCTTCATATCTCTAGCTGTTGTGGTGGTTCAGATCACTTTGGTGGCCTGGGACACTAGGGCTCAGAAGCAGGTTGTTTCGGTAGTTAACAAGCTAATGTGGGCTGCCTGTGCATGTACTTGTGGAGCGTTTCTGTCAATAGCTTTTGTTGTCGTGGGAAAGGGACATTCCTGGATGGCTATCACCATAACCCTGATGGGAGCACCAATTCTAGTTGGGACACTGGCAAGTATGTGCTATTTTGTTTTCCGACAACATTTTGGGTTCTTCCGCAATGATTCTCAGAGACGCATTAAAAGGGCAAGTGCAAGCAAGTCTTTCTCATGGTCAGTGTACTCGGCAAATATATCTGATGTCGATGAATCTGACCTTGAGAAGATTTATGCTCTATAGACAGTATCCAGAAGGCATGGACTTTGGTGGTCAAGTGTTTCTTTATATAAAGCTGGTTGGCTACAAGAATTTCAAGCATTACTCATGAGGTTGTGAAATTTAAAGTCGTTTTAAGAGGGAGAATTAGATGGTTTTCTTCAGGTTTATTTATAATTGACAAGCAGAAGATAAAAATGTAGATTTGTGTATAGTAATAGCCAAGTAAATGGGTTACTTTTGTTTCCAATAAACTGTTTGTTGATTGTAATAGTAATTGCATATTTCATCTTCACTCCTCAGTCCTTAACAACTCCTCCTCCTCCTTTTGACCCAACTACTTTCCAAATGGGCAAATCATAATCGGAATTGTGGCAATACGAGTGATGAGTCAGCATTACCTAACTGGTATGTTCAGTAACCTTACCGGTCAATGTAACAATCTAAATCGTGATTCCAGCCATCATCTCAAGCCTCGAAGATGGCCCTCATGATTTTGAAGATCATCATCTTCAGTCTCTGTAGCCACAATATAGAAAACTAGGGATGCACACAAGTTTTCACCACAAAGCCTAACCCAATTTTATCAATAAAATATTGATAAATATTTATAATTTTAGTTGTAAAGCATTGTTTTAAAATCGACTGGTGCGTTAACCCAGCCAAGTAACTAGGTCGTGGGTTGACCGATTGGACTGACGGTCCAATACTATGGAGCCGGTCCAACCTTAGGTTAACCTGGGTCAGTTGATCGTCCCGGTTTTTTTTTCGGCCCAAACCAGATTTGTTCCTTATTCCTTGTCCAACTGGTTAAACCGGTTTATCTGAGCCGGGTTTTAAAACAGTGTTGTGAAGCATGCAATTAAGATTGTCATAAAGAGTAGGTAAAGAGAGAGGAGGCCACAAATAATAGTTGGATGCACACAACAAATAGTAGGTGAATTGAATGAATAAAGAAAGGATGCATAATGTATCAAAAGGTCATTGATGTATACATAAATTTAGCTTATTTTGTATAGTTTGGTTGCTATGCAACAGATAAACAGAGAAAGAACAAACTGCATTTTCTAAAATTATATATGATATATCTCCCTGTAGCCCATATGGTTACCAATAAAAAATAACACAACCACATAGGCATGTCCCAATTACATAGGAAAAAAAGAATTAGCTCAGGCTAAAACCCAAGCTTTTTAACTTTAAATTCAAAACCCAATTTTCATCTTCATCATCATCATCATCATCCCAACCTTCCATAAACTTCAATTAAAACAAACTACTAGCATATACAATTTTACAATTTATACCAGATCTCATTTGAGGTGTGAGATCAACGCCAGTAACATCACTAAAGTTGTAACTGCCCTGGACCTTTCTTGGATGATCTTGAAGAAGGCCTACTTCCGTCTGATGAAGGAGACAATTGATGAGGTTCTTGCGGTCTTTGTACCTCCTGCAAATTCAACAGGTGACATAGAAGATCGCAAACATATCAGTGACAAATTCAAAATTTGCCAGTAAATTGAAACATCCGACATCCGTCAACAAAACTAGAATAAGATAATATATGTCAGAGCTGGAAACAAGAACTTCACTGCATTGTCATAATACCCCACCATAAATCAGATTCCAATTAAAGCACGACAATTTATATCCTTTGTCCTATTTCCTGCCATATCCATCATGAAGTCAAAATTTTGTAGCGTGGGTTGGGGCCAAATCTTTGTCCAAGGAAGAAAAAACATCATTTAGTTTATAAGAACATCGAGAGTATTAAACTATAGTAAAATCCATTATGCTTGAGGTCGGGAAACCACCCAATATATTCAGTCAGCAAGTAATTAGTATATCCAACATTGCCAGAATGTGCTCAAATATTACATTTTTATCCTTTCATTTCGTCAAACATTGTTTAAAACTAATTCAGGACAGAAGACTAGCAGATAGTAGATAAAATTCAACAAACCTTCGATACTGTAGTAGAACTATTTCGCAACTGCACCTGTGCTTTCACATGCATCCGATGCTGGTGCTGCATCTGCTCAAACTGTTGCAGCCTTGAATTAAAGTTAATTCCACTGTGCGAGGTCCCCATGTCTGAGTTCAAGTCACCATCTTCACTGAATTGTGATCCAGTTGGCAGAGAGTAAGGATTCCCTGAAGATGTCCGCTTGAATTGCTCACCATTGAAAGAGTATGAAGGTATGGTCTTCAAACGAGTCCGTAGTATCTTAAAGGCTGCACTTTGCTGCGACAATGAGTCAGGAGAATGGTTAACAATGGGATTGATTATAAGCAGAAATCACAAATGATAATTGGGTTGGATTTAAAAAAAAAAACTATATTGTATTGATCTTCACATATCTACTAGAAATTACAAAGCATTTCTAAAACCTTCCAAGCAGTAAATATAATTTTTTTTGGAGGAAAAACAATAAAATATAAGCATACCATATAAGCATACCAAGTAGGCTTGCAACTTAGGTCCACTGAAAACAAACAAAAGACAAAGAAATGGAGAAAAGTAGCACAATGCCAGAGACATACCTGGGGAAGCAACATAAGAAGACCATATAGAGCTTTCAATAACCAAGTATATCTTCCAGGTTCAAGAAGCTGCACATTACAAAATTGCTCAGCCACTCAAAATATCCCTTGATGTTGAGAGGACAAAATCAATAAAATAACAAATGGCTTTAATATCAGATAAAAGCAAAATCATTAACAAGCTTGCAGAAAATCAACTGCATCAATGTAGAAATTCATGAGATTCTCAAAACACAATTATTTTAATGAAACCATTAAACTATGCGAAAGAGAAAAAAATCAACTGTTTCTTAAATGTCAAATTATTAGTATACAGGCAATAACATTTTATTAAGGCCATAAGAAAAAACATCATTTATTAATGATGCCTAAATCCCAACTCATGATGCTTTCCCCCGTGACAGTATGGGTTTTTTGCCGAGAATGTTAAACAATTACATACGATGATTAAACAAAAAAAAAAAAAACAACAGAGTTTTCTAACAACCTACAGACCAAGAAACATCTTTGCAAACCTCAAAAATAAAAAAGACAACTGGAAAATAATTATGTGCTAAACAGGCAGGTATATATGTATGTGTCTCTGCTTGTGAAAGCAGCAGAACATTTACAACACACTTGCACGACCCAATATAAAGCGAAATCAGAACCTAGTGTTCAACTTGAGCACCTGCAATCTAAGATAAGCGAAGGTAGGAGTTTCCAGCAAACGAATCAATTTATCCAGCTGGACCAAAAATTTGACATTAATATCTTCCTCCACTAGTGACTGAATCACAGTACTGACATGCTGGTATGTCTGTCAAACAAGAATCCAACATTATCATTAAGATTTCATAAATACATGTAAGGGTCACTGGGAAGCTATGACACAAAAACAAAATGGATAGCTATAAGAAAGTTCTAAATTCTCACCTGAGCTAATAGACAAAGACTTATAATTGCCATGGGTGAATGACACCATGAAGCGTATAAAGAAACAAATAATTCTTTCCCGGCAGGGTTAACCAGTGATTGTTTTAAGAGATCTCGAAGCTCAGATAATTCTGAGGACGTAAGTAAAATCAAATTTAAAGCCTGAACAAAAGAAAGAAAAATAAGTATAATTACGTTATAAATGAAAATACGAATAAAAATACTTAAGTGAAATGATGAATAAAAAGGATAAACCATTTCAAAAATTATTTTTTCTATTTTATATCTTAGTTATGTCTTCATTTCTGGAGTTGAATTGGCCTATGAATAAACATGCACAACATAGTTTCTTTGAGTCATTCCCATGTTAGTGCCTTAACTAAGGTTAAAATAGAGGACAACCTGAACCATAATACATGCAAAATCCAGGTCCGATTCTCCCTCAAGTATCGTGGAGAGTTCCAGGTAGACCCTCTTAGCATCTAAAAGTACACAAAGTCGGCGGATTATCAAAGCACCACGCCTAAAGAGAAAAAAGAAAGCACAGTTACAATAGAGATAAAGTAGGTGATCATACCATTCTACAAGATTTAAAAAAGAATAAGTAAAGAAACTAACTTCTCCAGAAGAGAATTGTCAATCCGGAAATTATGTACTAGGAAAACAACAAGCTGGCGAAAATGCTGTGGATCTTTCGCAATGCATGCATGAACCTCGATAACCAGGAGCACTACCTGGGGAAAAATCCAAAATTTCCTTTTTTTAATTAAGTTACATGACAGAGAATTATGCCAAATGAAATGCATAAATGTAAGGTGCATATTTATGTCCAAGGCAAAAGAAACATATGTAAGTATATGATCCCTGTTCCATAATAATAAAACTAGAAAACCATACTGGAAGAACAATCAGAAATTGTGGAGAAAAAATTTACCTCATCAGAAGGATCTGACAGTGCTTTTAAAAGCGTGTCAAAAATTTCATTCAGATAAATTAAGACCTGTGAAGAAATTGAAACCACATGTAATCAACATAAAAATATATTTTCAGACAAAAGGAGAAAAACACAAATAAGTCAATACTAGAGGTATGCACAGTAGTTTCAGGTCTGTTTGATACGCTCAAGTCAAGAAACCAAACAAAACTGTACGGAAAAAGGTCAGATCTGCTAAGGCAGTATACTTTTTGATAAGAAATAAGACAATGTCAGATCAGCAAGTTAAACAATTATGTTACTTATTTCACTAAAATCTAATATACACTATAGTACTGTCGTACATAATAAATAATAAAATATAGGCAAATGACATGAGAACATGCATGAACCAGATGTCCACATGATTAACCGACAAATGTGCAGTTACCTCAGCTCGATGTCTATTCAAAAGGGTTGAAATCCAGTGCAATGCTTCAATTCGAGTAGCCTCCCATTCGCTAGACAGTTGCCTGGTCAGTCAAAAGAACCAGCAATCACTTCAGTAATCATTTGCAGTTAAACATCATAACTCATGCAACTAGATTTTTTTCCCAGATTACAAAACTACACCTCCTTGCAATAGAGAGGATTGCTCCAACATCAAATCCTTCTGCTGGCTCAGCCTGGATTGCACGAAGCTCTTCATTGGTTTCACGAGCAACCTTACAGCCAAAAAAGGGAAGAGAAAAGCTCATTTACCAAAATGCTCAAAGGTACAGCAACTAATTCTTTTTAATTTATTAAAGAAATGGTAGCTTATACTGTCTTACCACTCTGATTTTTTCTTCTTTATCAGATATGCAAGGTAGAATGGCTCCTAGAATATCAGCATAGTAAGGAACAAGCTGGTCCCCACCAAGTTTTACGAACTCATTTATCTGTTCAATCAAGAAATTAAAAAGTTTGACTATTTATAAGAAGTGCAATTGAAAAATAGTAAAAGCTGCCAATCTTCACTGATTCAGAAGAAAAAAAAAAAAACAGTAGAGAACTTTTGTTTTAAAAAATAAAAAATAAAAAAGGATTGGCGAAAGAGACTGATTATACTTTACCCAAGTGATGGCCGTTAACCGAGTAAACTCATCTGGAGAAGCTGCCCTCTGAACAAGTATTTCAGCCATGCGACCATAATCTACAGACTTCAAGAGTAGCACTGCTCGAGTCAGAAAATTACAAATGAACAAAAGAATTCATGACACAATACTTGATGCAAATGATCTGCCAAAAGTCATTTTCTGCTGGCATCAGAAGTCGAAAATAAATCCTACGATCCTAAAATGATATAGAGAAAGTAATGCTAAAAGGCAAGTAATCAGGAAGCAGATATCACAGCAATGAATAGTAAAATCAGAAATTTGAAATTTTAGTAGAAGTCTTACTGGGGAGTTTTTAATCTCTTGAAGAAACTCCGAAAGGGCTGAATCAGCTTGTTGCCGAATTTCATGACTAGAATCACTTAACATATTAAACAAACCTGAAATTTATTAAGAATTTCTGATTTAATCTCACCAAGTAGAAAAGAAGAATACTTAAAAACCAGGAGAAAAAAGCAATTTTCAAATGTTAAATATGTACCATCAAGAAAATCAGGAAGAAAACCCAGCATATCAATATCTGGAACACTGTCCAATACAGTGATCCATCCAACCAAAAACTGTCGGACATAGGGATTTAGAACATTCATCCGCTCTCGTAACAAGGGTATAAATTCTTCAATGCTGAGGAGAAAGAACACCATAAAAACAACAAAATTCACATTATAAAAGCAGTTGCAAAATTCTTGTTCCAGTTTTTGCCTCTAAACACAAGAGCTTCCAATTTATTATTGGAAAAGGAAGATTGCGCACCTGAATTGATCACTTTCAGTGACAATGTCCTGTTTCACATAGTAAAATCTGAGAATTGATCCAACAAAAAGGAATTCCTACTTCAGAAAATTCAATGGGAAGTTAAATATTTATGGGAGGGATGGAGAATCCACCTTTACAAGGCGATCTAAAAGATGTGCAGCACTTTGTACATTGGCATCTGAATCTGCCGAAAGCTTACATAATGCATCAAATATCTGATTAAAGAATATGATGAAATCTCCTCTAACAACCTGTGGAGCAGCAGCAAAAACTTAACATATAAACCTCAATATAAATTTTTGGGATGAACCCTAAAATGTAAACACTAAATTAAATCTCACCTTCGCAAGTTATACAGAGCTTCACATGCATAGTAACGAACTCTGCTATCTTGATCAGAGAAAGAATTAAGCACGGGTGGCACTATTTGCTGTAGTGTCGCATCAGAAAAAAAATAAGGAAGAAGTATATCAGCAAGAAAGAGGAAAAACCAACAACGAGAAAATTAATACAATATTCTAGAAGATTATATTAGGAGAAATCATGAGTTAAGAGTGAAAACAGAAAAAAGAAAAATCAACACACACAAAAAGAAAGTATTCAGCAATACATTCAAGTGTGCAAGAGCTTCATTGACAGCTATTTAGAAGTATAGGTTTAACTAATCTAGTCCACAACCCTTCCCCTTCTGCACCCCTAAGAAACACCTCCCCTCTGCACTCCGACACAACCCCCTTCTGCAATCCAAAGAAGCAAGCTACACCCCTTCTCCACTCCAAAGACGCACACAACACACCCTTCTCCACTTCAAAGATGCACACTACACCCTTCTCACCTCCAAAGATGCACTACGCCCTTCTCCATTCCACAGACACACCACAACCACTCTCCCATCTAGATACACAAATAAGCAGAGTAGGAAAGAGACCCCCTCCTAGTGCTGGTACTTTAGTACATCAATAAGCCGATAAAGCTCATTTCCGTTAAATCTATTACTGAAAACACCAAACAGAACTAGAAATCTCCATCTATAAACATCTCCAAGTTTCTGAAGCAGAGGATACTCCAGCAAGCATCACCAATTATTAAGACTCCCCACCTTGATGTCATTTCAATGTTGCAACTATACTAATGAAATCGACAAGATAGCTTTTCTTTTATGACAAACCATAATCTAATTGGCTAATAAGAGGCATTCTTTTCTAGAAATACGTGAATGTGTAATTACATAAACGATCTGGGAAATATAAAACAAAGTCCTTGCTTAAAAAATTAAGAAATATTAGTGTCGTTACTGCAGAACTTCAATGACAGTCATTCGTGTATCTTTGGAATAAAATGGCTGAAAACACAATGTATTACCCCAGCCAGAATAAACAACTGATTAACTAGTCACTTATTTTATCAAAAGAAATCCTAAAAGCTTGCACGGTCACATTGGAACGTCATTAAGTGATAAATAAATGAGTCATTCAAAATGGTATAAAAAATTTATTCACTACCTCAGAGATTCAAAATTTCAGAAGATGAGTTGACACATGTATAAATATATAAACAAATAGTGACAAAGAAAAGATTACCCTATTCAAACTTATAATAATACCTATACATGTTCAAACGGTTGACATTAAACAACTATTCCAAAGTTAACAATCCACAAATAAAAATCTGATTTGATAAATGAACATCACAACATTAAATATAAAATAAAATATACACTCACCTCAAGATGCTGAGCCGCTTCAAAGTCAACCCAACAGTGGCGGCAGCTATCCTATCAATCCTCCCTACACAGCACAACAAACATCCTAAATACAAAGAAAAATAAAGCCTTTATATATCAGTACCCTAAACAGTCAGTAATAGTATAACAAGACTTGTACCAAAATTACACATCTATCTGTCATTCCATACTGAATGTCATAACTCATATTTTCATATGAATTCAAACTTCTTCTTCTAAGCATAATAATTCTGTATTTTCCACTATAAATTACAAATTTAAAGTGTACTTTACTAAAACCTCCACATAGAAATTTAAATTAAAATTAAAAAAATAATGGATTAAAAAACAAAAAAAACACCAAAACCTTGCGGTTCGCTTGGGCGAGTAGGTGAACTCGTGGGTCAACAAATGGATGACCGCGAAATCTTCTCTGATCGCCCGCCATCGCCAACTGCTTCACTATGCCCTCACCTACAAACACAAACGAAACACTAGATTCAAAAACACGACGAATCAACTACTTTCCACAGATTTTGAGAAAATTAACAAAGAGGAGTATTAATTTCACCTCGAGGGCAGCATTTTTGCGCTTCTCGTAGAGCTTATCGGCGAGATTACGAAGGACTCCAGTAGGAATCACTGCTGTCCGCCATGGAAATTGCAACCAAACCCTAACAATTCAATACTTGTTCTCGGTCCGCGATTAAAAGAGCAGAGAATCACCGACGTCGTTTCATGATCTTTTCCTTCTTGGGAAAAAACTCGAACTGAATTTGAAGTTCAGATCTGGCGATTTAAGAGAGGGAAAAAATAAGAAAACGAATCGGTGAAACTGTTTTTTGTTTTTGGTAATTGTGTTGTTGTTGTTTTAATAAAATGAATTGAGACCTAATTTCCGTTTTGTTTTTGAGTTTCCAAAGTGACGCAGTTTTGGGTTTTGTGTTGTTTAATCCTTTGTAATAATAATACTGCATGTACCCAGAGTGACGGATCTGAGATGATTTTGAAATACCCAAACCCCTTGTTTTGGATATTTTAAATTTTTGTTAAAAGGATTTTTAATTGAATTTTGAATTGTTTTACATATTATTTTTTGTTAAATCGAATATTTTTCTTAATTGGGAAATTATTTTAAATATAATTATTAAATATTCTTGAAAGTATCCGAATTCCTTTTTTTTTTTTTTTTTTTTTCACAGAAGTATCACTTTATTATCCAATCAAATACTATAAAGTAAATATAAATAATTTTTTAGCTGTTTGAGAGGGATATTAATGATTTAAAAGCATTTTCCAACACACTGTGAATTGTATTTAAGATTTAATTACAATATAATATTCAATGATAGTTTCACTGAACTTCCTCATGTTTTTAACTTAATATATATAAAATATGAGAGAAGACTTTTAGATCAAAACCCAATTTTATTTGTGTGTGTATATATATATATTCGTAAAAAGAAATAAAGTATTAGCTATTAACTCTAGGGCTTTTCTAATAAATACCATAAAATACTAATTTTTAGATACTGAAATAATATTTAACAAAATCCCGAATACACTCTTGATCTTGATGTAGTAATTATTTAAGTTATTTTTATAGTTTTGATGTAATTTCATTTTCTTGGTGAGTAAAGTCAACTCACTAAAAAGTTCACACAAACGTCAAGCAAAAATTGAAGATTATAGAAATGAGTTTAAGGGTACATAATAAAAATAAAAAATACTAATTTAAGTAAAAGGAAAATTTCGATGATTTAAAGCATTTAATTGTGGAAAAAAAACCATGCAATGTGAACAGAATAAAGAAAACCATGGACTAAGTATATATGGGAATTTTTTCTTGATATATTGGAATCTTAATATTAGATATTATATTATTAGTTAAATAATAATTCCCTAAACACCTTCAAGTTTTAATGAGCTCACAGTTAAATGTATAATATATCAGTTTATATAATTGGCTTGGTATATTTTGTTTTGTCAATGCCCTATTAAGATCCCATATTAGAATAGATTCTAATTCTATTCCCATTACGGGGTTAATTTGTTGAATTTAATTTTACTTTTCCAATGACGTCATGTTATATTAATTTAATTAGTGTAATTGAAATGAAAATCTAATAATCCATACAAATGTTAAGCAAATTTATGGTCATCTTTTGCCTACTTTGCAGTTTCCAATGCACATAATTTTATGAATTCAAATCATCATGTTTAACAAGATCCCAAATGGGAATTTTCCTTCATGTGAAAATATTGAAAGATTTGAGCAACAATTGCTGAGTTGAAAATTATTGTTCAAAGTTCAAACCGGACTTTTATTACCAATAATCTCATTGACAATTCTTCTGTTTTAGACCCATCAAACAAAACAACACTTACACTCTTTTTATTAGGATAATACCATCGATTTTTTATGCAATTTTTGATAAAATCCCTTCTGGAGCTGACAAGGTGTAAGTATTTTTTTTTCTCTCTTCACGAGTGGTACTGGTAACTCCATCAAGCTTTGATGTAAAATAAAACAGTGTCACATGCTACGTGTTAATAGCCACCCAAATTTAAGCCCACTTGGATTAGCTACGAACCTTCAAAGATCAAACCTCAAGCTAAAGTGGACATTTGGCAAGAAATTTAACCCTTTACTGAGAGAGATCTAATCAACCAATGTAATCAATTAATATGAGATCTGATTAAATAAAGCAGTGGACAATGAAGCCAATATGGGGAACAGTATATAAAAAAAAAAAATCAATGACCAAGAAGCAAGAAAGATATACCTAGAAATAGCAGTTGTCATGTGAGCTTGTAACCATTGTCACTCACTCTGGCCTGGCACCCGGATATCAAAAACTGTAGCGCCTTGCCGTTATTCTTAAAAATAAGCTCGAATGTTTACTGATATCCGCGACTGGCATATAGATCTGCCATACATTGGAAACAGTTGCAAAATGGAAAGGCTGAGAACAGAAAACTTTCTCCAGCTTCATGAATTCGACAGGCCAAAACTCCAGATCAGAATAACATTCCACTTTACGGAGCACAAGGGCAACACCAATTCCCACTAAGGAGCTGGTACCATAATTGCAGGCATCAAGAGTTTCCAATTCTTACACACGGCATCTAGGAATGAGAATTCAAACTCTCAATACTTTCTCAATAAAACCACTGCCACTTTTACATTTGAACTGTCTACTGTTAAGCTAATGTTACATGAGCACTTTCAACATTGAACCTATAATATTTTTATTGACAAAACTCATGTGACAAGGAAAAAATTTCATCATACAATATTACATGAAACAAGAAACAATCAAAATTGAGTAAAAGAAAGAGGACTTATTAGGGATTCCTCAAGTTCTCTAAATCCTCTGTAAACAGCCTCGGTCCGGCTTTGTGGAAGGGGAAGTCTCCGTACCTCTGTCATATACCTGATACCCAGATTCAAAGAGGACAGAATTAAATGTTGCACTGCAAACATGATGTAACCATACATATAGTGCCAATTCATTAGTGCAGGAGACAAATTTAGTCCCACAAGTTAGATTGAAACCATAAAACTATACAAACAAAATGGTAAATCTTTAAAAAGAAAGAAGGGAAAAGAATAAAGGAAAAGATCATTGCCATAACAGTCACTGATACAAGTGAATGCTACCCTTAAAAGACAAATCTGCTTTTCAACTACTTGTAACATTTTTTTACCCTTCTTTTGCCCTATTTCAGCAAGCGGTAGATATTGACACTTGTTCCTAGCAAGGTAAATTTGAGCTCATCTAAGAAATTTGTACAGCCCTTGATATTGCTTGCATATACAAAGAAAACTTTTTGCATTATGCAGAAAAAAGTGGCAGATAATTGTGGAGAGAACAAAAATAGCAAGCCTTGGGGAACTTTATTAAGAATCTGTCGATGGCAATGGATGATGGTCCAACATTCCAGGTAAAACAAGTTTGCACAAAAATGAATATTTTCCACAAAAGCAATTCAAGGATTTCTATCCTGAGCCTGAACTAAAATCTCCAGACAATATATATAAAACAGACGACTGACCAACTTCATATCTTCTCCATCCACATCTCATTCAATCTTTTTGAACAATTGAACACAACCATATGTTACGCTACATGAAAAAATAAAAAGAAAAGAATTTGACCTGTTCGCTGCACTTGTGATCTTATCTCGAATCCCTTGGTTTATGACAGTTGTTTGCTCCGTTGAAAATGCTCCGCCTAATATCAGAGAGGCTCCAGTAGCACTTGTACCCATTCTCTGAGCAAATACAGACATTGCCCACTCTCTAAGTACCACAAGCACTGACCGAAGAAGACGTAATCTGAGGTTGGCAGATGGCAAAATAGCTCCATTCGACAATAATTGGTCATAAGTGTTCAATACAGGTTCAGCTGCTCCTTTGCAAGCAGCCAGAAGAGCCCTTGGCACATCTTCATCTCCAACAAGTTCAGCTCCTGAATCCAATCTCTCCTACAGAGATTTTTTTGAAAAGAAAAACAACCCAAAAAAAATATTAAGAAAAAGAATCATAAACCACAGGCAAAAATACTGAACCCCACTCCAAGAAAACCTTACAACATTCATAAACAGAATCTGGGAAATTTGAGACTAAGTTGAGCAGCTTCGCAATGAACATATATAAGACAAAGCATGCTTAGATACAAACAAAATGGAAAAAGTACCAGTGCAGCTTTCTCAAGGTGCAGACATAAAGTGTCCAAAGGTAAAACAGCTCCATCCCCAGGATATACATGGGAGCCAATCCTCTTCAGCACTGAACAAGCTTCGGCAATGCCGCCCTTTGAAAGAGCTTGATCAATAAGTCTAGCCCAGGTTTCTCTTATAATGCTACTATCAGTATCACCAGAATAGCTTGCAAAGTAGAGCATTTCCAGACATATCTGAAAGCAGTAATAAAAATCAATTCATTTCTTTAAGAAAAATATATTTTTGGAACCAACCAATGTTTAATCCATAGATAAAAAGTCTCCAGCATGATTCTACCTTGTCAACCAATTATATACATATTTATATATCCATATTAAGCATATGCATAAGTTTCATGCAATGAAGAAGTCAGAAAATAATTCGAGTGACTAATCCACATATCGTGACCAAAAAGAGAAAGTTCCAACCAAGTTTTGTGTGGCAC